AAGGATGATGTATTGGAGTGAATGGTTGGCAGATCTGAAGATAGAAAACTCATGCATACTTTCGAAATTGAAATCTAACTTTAACCTCATCAGTGATCTCAATTGGATTCGATGCTGAATAGGAAGTGTCATGTAAAACCGAATTTAGTGGCCTCGTGAAGCCTGTTAGTAGGATTGCGGCAAAATCATCAGTTCTAAAATCACCTTCTGCGATCTGGGGTGACAAAGTTGATGACAGTATTTATCCTACAAATGGTGCCTTTCGATTAAAAATGATAGTCACTATCTTGTCTTTCACTTTTGTATCCAACAAAAAAGCGAGGATAGCAACCCATATTTTATTGAATCTCTTTCACCCTTTATATTTGATCTCGACATTGTATCTTTTTATGTTGGCCAATCCACACAACAACTATTCACACTTCCTTGGTAGGACACTCATAATCTGCATCTGCCCTAGATCGCATGAGATTATGAAGTACGGATAGTTGAATTTGCTCACAATAAAGTGAATTGGCCTTACGATGCCAGTTGATTTCAGTTATGCGAAGAAGAAGTGGGTTTAGAGAAATCTCTTGTTCCATCATTGTTGAGCTTACTTCCATTTCGAGAGGAGATTCGAAGGTCGGTTCCACCAGAAGACGACGGCGGATTCCTCTTGACCAGCTGTCGATTGGTTTTACTGGAAGATTCATGCTGACGCGAGGATTCGAAGGTCGGTTCCACCAGAAGACGACGGCGAATTCCTCTTGACCAGCTGTCGATTGGCTTTACTGGCATTGGAGAGACAAAAGATCAACATTGTTGGGATTACTTCCATTTCGAGTGGAAGTGTTGGGTGAAGAGATTCGGAGGTCGGTTCCACCAGAAGACGACGGCGAATTCCTCTTGACCAGCTGTCGATTGGCTTTACTGGAAGATTTGTCGGTTCCACCAGAAGACGACGGCGAATTCCTCTTGACCAGCTGTCGATTGGCTTTACTGGAACATTCACGGTGACGCTATTTCCGAGAAATCGCTTGTTTCATAATTGTTGAGCTTACTTTCATTTTGAGTGGAAGTGTTGGGTGAAGAGATTCGAAGGGAGAAAAGTTGGGTTTCGAGGAATCTCTTGTTTCATAATTGATGAGCTTACTTCCATTTAGAGTGAAAGTTTGGGTGAAGAGATTCGAAGTTTCCAGAAGACGACGGCGGATTCCTCTTGACCAGCTGTCGATTGGCTTTACTGGAAGATTCATGCTGACGCTATAAGACGACGGCGAATTCCTCTTGACCAGCTGTCGATTGGCTTTACTGGAACATTCATGCTGACGCTGTTTTCGAGGCAATCTCGTTCGATTTCGGTGAAAAGGTGCTAAGTTTTGGTTCGTCATATGACGGACATCATCAAAACGAGTTGTTTTCTTGACTCGTTG